AGAGGAGGAGGAGGAGGAGGAGGAGGAGGAAGAAGAAGAGGAAGAGGAGGAGGAAGAGGAAAAGGAGGAGGAAGAGGAAGAGGAAGAGGAAGAAGAAGAAGAGGAGGAGGAGGAGGAGGAGGAGGAGGAGGACAGCATAATCAGACTTGCAAGATTTTGTTATTTTAGTCAATCTTAATAAAAAACAGTTTTGGCCTTCCTGCGGAGTTGATTTCCCAATCTGGTTTATCTACTGGGGTTGACACATACTTTGCTTCCCCATGCTTCACCTCCCAGAAGTTCTTCATTTGGAAGCAGCTCAGACAGATGCCTCCCTAATTTGGAGGAGGAGGAGTCTTTTGAAACCATTTCAGCTTCTCTAGATTTTCCTTCAAATTTGAGACATCTGTTTGTAAACTAGGGGAGAAGTGGGTTGAGTGTCACACTTTCCACAGGCGGGGACATTCTGTTTTCATTAAAAAAAAAAAACTAGACCACTGGATCCCACAGCAGAAGCAAGACAGATCACGTCTAGAGGCTGTTTGGAGATCCACACGCAAAGCATGACCTTCTTACATGAACATTAGACTCAACAATGCCTTTGATTTCCAGGAGCCCTCTTGCTCCTCCCTCCCCACTGACTTCCTTAAAGAGATAAAGAAAGTAAGTCTGACTTGATTTTCCCAAAGGACAGTTCCACACCCAGCTCTTAATAATACATCCAGATTTATTGTTTCAATGATCTCACTTCTCCACTCATCAGACTTCCATGACAGTAAAAAAAAATAAGCCAAAACAAAATATGCTGTGAGGCTGTGATTGAACCTCTCTCCCTGTGACATGCATCAAACTTTTGGTGCACATAAAAAAAGTGAAGAGCTTCAGTCACAGTGTTGCGGTCCACAACTTGACTTTTCTTACCAAACCCTGAGGATGGTCCTAACTTGAAAGCAATGCAGAAGTGCCTTCTGACCAACCAGGGGGCATTCCTAGAAGAACTCCTGTAGGTCTCAGATCCCAGAGGAGTTCAGATTTACGACCGGTCTTTCCTCTGATGGTCTGATTCTAACTTATTGAGAACTTGAAACCTGAAAGCCGTGCTTCAAAGGGTGCCATGAAAGCAAACTGGCAAACAGCCTTAGAAGATTAGCTGTCTCATTTTGCCTAAATTAAAATTTCTGTTCTATCATCAAAGATTATCCATGAAGAGCCCACGGCAACGGAGAAATTATTATAAAGAAGGTGACTTTGTCCATATCGTTTTTTTCCCAAACACTGAGACAGATACTGCATAGAAATGATGCCCAGAAGGTTGAAATAACAACCAGCATACCTGGTTCTGAGCAGGAGAAGATACCTATATTCAGGTAAAAGTCATGCAGTACAGCTTTGGAAGGGATTGTGACCCTGCTGAAAAACAAGGGGGAGATGGAAGGATGATCTTCCCCATCTAAAGAAGAACCAGGTTAGAAATGCAGGCAGTCCCCGATTTATAACCACAATAGAGATCAGAATTTGAAGCACAGCATCGTTTATATTAAAAATAAAATAAAATTAGACACTGGACCAGTATATGCCCTCAGCTTACAGTCAGTTACTATGTGACCTTCAGTTTGACGTGGGCCCCATTTATAAAGAGAGTCCTGGCCAACGCCGTGTGAGATGCGAATCCTATTCAGGATTGTGCATTACTGACACTGGAGTTCAAAGCATGGCCCCTTTCTGGTGGGGTCATTTTTATGTCTTCCTATGACTGGTTGTTCAAGCGACCCATTTGGTTTTCTATTGGGAATCAGTGTTCAAGTTGTTGGGCAGATGTTCTGCAATGCCAGATTTTCTGCAGATTTTAATTACCAATCAGATCCCAAAATACTGGACGTCTGCTCTCCAAAACGGAAAATTAAGTGCAATGGACCGGTTCTGGTTTGATATTCTCATTTTATTAACTACCCAGTGGGTGTTCTCAAGTTTTCGTTGTTTGCCTGCAGTCTCAGTGACAGAAGACTCTTAAAGAGGGGGGAGATGGGGGTGAACTGGGAGACTGCAAAGTAGGAATTTCAACCCAGTGGGAGAAAACATATTGCCTCCTTGAGTTCTTAAAAAGCAGTATACGTCTTAAAGGAGCACAAGCTTGACTTTCGGGAAAGCTCAGATTTCCACCCACCAATCCTGCATGCTGCATTTTCTTTTTAATCTACCAAGCCGTTAAGCACAAACATCCTGGACACGGGTAAGTGCTGTTTATAGAGTCATAAAGAGTCCGGCCTTGGCCTCATAAACCCCACAGGATACACAGTTGAAGAACTGGGCAATTTTCCAACCTGACAAAGGAGTGGAAACCCAGCAGAATTGCCAGCTGTACAAAGAAATAGAGCAAATTCCGAGACACCAGCGTAAAAACTGTCTATAAGATAAAGAATCTCAGCCCTTATTTTATTTATGGCATTTTTGCTTTTATCAAAGCTTTTGTGGTTTCAGCCTTTAGCTCAATGCTTTTCGAGCTTAGCAACTTTAAGGTAACACGGATGTCGATTTCCAGAATGCGGGCTGGAGAATTCTGGGAATTGACATCCATGCATCTTAAAGTTGCCAAGCTTGAAAAACATTGCTTTGGCTGAAGGGCTGAAATTGTTCCCAATATACACGAATGGCATAATGAGGCTTTTTTGCTGTTTCTTTGGGTGGCTGCTGCCTACCAGCTATTGTACGTACTTATCAGCTGACACAGAAACTTGGACTTACAGAGAAATCACTTGGGGAACTGGATTATGGCCCACCCTGCCCTGTTATATCCAACCTCTTTCCAAAGATAAGTGAACAAGGATGTCACCATGCCAGAAGATAAATCTAGAGCAGCGGTTCTCAACCTGTGGGTCGCGACCCCATTTGGGGTCGATCGACCATTTCACGGGGGTCGCCAAGCAAGGCTGTCCGCCATTTTTTTCCCCTTTTCCGGCGGGTGCCTTACCTCCCTTGGGCTGGGCCAGCTGGTGGTCGGCCTGCTCCGTCTCTGCCGCTTGCCAGCTACGCCTCGACCGGCGCAGGGGGCGGAACCACGCATGTGCAGCGCTCCCGGGCAGGGAAAGTCCTTGACTTACGACCGGTTGGGTAGTCCTTGACTTACGACCGGTTTAGTCCTCAACTTACGACCGGTTTAGTCCTCGACTTACGACCGGTTGGGGGTCACGGCATTAAAAGGGTTGAGAACCACTGATCTAGAGCCACATCCTAACCCTCAACTAAGTCTCCTCCAACAGATGTTGACCTGGACTGTGCTACCAAGCAAATGGGATCAGCAGCTGGAGGTGCTGATCAACTAAATGAGACCCTTGAATGAAAGATTAGACTAGACTTTCCAGGAAGAAAGAAGGAAGACTTGGGATGTCTATGGAGGTTCTCAATCATCCAGGTCATGGTTATCCCAAAGATGCTTTTCCAAAAAGCAAGTGGACTTTCTTGATTCAAGTGAAACATTTTCAAGGAAAAGAAAAACCCAAGAAAGTCCAGTTGCTTTTTGGAAAAGCATCTTTGGGAAGAGGTGGGATCATTGACAGGGTTAGTTGAGACTTTCTTGGTCCACAACCCTAATGGAGATTTTTTTCAAAAGGCGTTTAGTTCCCAGCATTGATGACTGCCCTTTGCAAGGTGGATCAGTTCTTTGTCAAGCTTCTAATCCAAGCAGGCTCGCTATCAAGAACTGAAGGATGCCACTCTTGTGTGTTTTTGTAAAGCAAGTCACAGGAATCAAAAATAAGGAAAAGCTTCAGCCAGCCCTCCCCTTGCCATTTGCAAAACCAAGCTAGCTTGGAACTGGGGACCGTGGCAGGTGTTGGCCTACAGGGACTTTCTGACTCCTGATGAGCTGTCAGTGGCTGTCAGTGGCTGTCATACACGGCTGGGGGCTGGAAGTGTCATATGGCTAGAGTGTGGAAAATATCACCTGTGCAGATCTGTTCAGTGTCCCACCAACCTTCCCCCCCTTCCCCTCTCTCTCCAGAGCCAAAAAGGCAGCCCCCCCCCCGACACTAGGACAAATGAGCCACTCTCACAAAGAGAGCTGCCTGGAAAGATCTGCATATAGATAGGAGAATAAACAACCAGAAATGGGGTGGGGGACAAAGCTAGCAAATTTTCACAGTGGAACAACAGTTCCTGCCTGACTCAGGATATTTGCAGACATTAAGGCTAAATAGGAAGGAAGGCACATAGCAAAGAGCTGCATGCATGGATTTTTCTGGATGGTTCTCAAAGGGCAGGTGGGAACCACCTCAGAAGGCTGGAGAAAAGGGTGCAAGTAAAACCAAAAGCTAGTGTGGAAATGAAGGCGAACGTACTTGTGTCCCAGGATAAGGTTGCAGGATGCAATCTGAGTCAGTCTCCGGAACCACAGGTTTGTTCTTCCAAGCTTTTGGACATGTGCTGGAGCCCATCCTGAGGGAACATCTCAATCTCCAGGATGTGTGCACTGGACTGTACTATGAGTAGCACTCATGCGGTGCCTGGTGGTGTGTGGCTTT